TCAAAAATTAATGACTCGGTGTAAAACCCATGTGCCACGGGCATTTACTATAAATATCTGAGATGCAGGTACATCCAGCTGATGAGTCCCGAATAAGACGAAGTGTGTGTAAAACTGGATACCACTGCTGACCATTATCCATCTTTGCAATATAATGCTTGTGAATTATGGCAATATCGAGGCAATACGCATAGTATGTACATATGCCAATAAGAGATTGACCGATTGCAGTCCTAAACATCAAAGATTCAAGTAAAACAATATTAAGTGAATTTAAAACTCTAATATATTTGCCATCTGCGTTTACAGATAACAGTAATATTCTCATTATATCTGGATATACATCTCAACCTATAACAATTGTAGTTGGAATTATTAACTACTTATAATTGTAGATTACTAGACTAAAAGAAACGCGACCACTCCAATTCTTGACAATTTAAGTAATGTCCAGTATATATTTCATATATGTATATATTATATTCAATATATTAATATATTAATTTTTGGATGTAATAACTTTATCATTGTTTTTGGAATTGTTATATTTATGATCTACCATAATTCGCTAAATTGACTTAATATACATTTCTATATTATTGGTTGAAACATTAATCACTATCTAACTTGTTCAAAGACTTAAGAATGAAAACCTTTAATTAAAATGAATAAAGTTACATATTGATCTGAAAAAACTTAAAACCACTGGATTGCTTTTTCTTCTTTTTCTTCTTCTTCTTCAAATTTGACCAGTGAAGATCTGTCAAGTTAACTAGTAAAACGTTTATCTTCATTTCTTAACAAAATTTATACCAAAGATTAATGAATTGATGTGTATTCTAGTTTATCTCTTATTTTCATCTCAAATAAATAATAGTTAATAACTAAAATAAATTTTATTACCATGGTTATTTTCATTCTGATATTAATTTGAATTCATTGGAATATTTTGTTCTTCCCAAATCATAAGTTTTCTTCTTAATCTATACTCTATTCCACCTCCTTCCCCCTTCCTTCCCCCCTCCATATATATATATATATATATATATATATATATATATAACCCTTATAGTAATCTTTATTATAACTGTAAATAGAAGTATCGCCTACATTTAAATAGAACGTTTTCATTTTGCAAATATTTTGTTAATAGTTTCTGTTAGAGATTGAATATTTAAGAGAGTTAAACAATAAATAAGTTATTGTTAAAATGCAAATCAAATGGTTTGTAATGCCCATTGTTTTGTTAAGCCCATACAGCTTAATCTAGCTTCCGGACAGAATAGTTTATTCACTTTTCTTGAGTCACATTTTGTCCTTGTTGATTCTTCGCTTATCAACCTTGGCAGTTTTGATATGAGTGTGTGTGTGTGTGTGCATTTCTTATCCTATTCATCACATCTCCGCAACCTATATTTGTATGACTACAAATATTGATTAACGCTTGATTAAACTGCGTATCATTTCGCTTCGCTCTCTTCACCTCACTTTCTTCTCTTCGTTCCTTTGATTGTCTGTCTGGATCAAGGATTGTATGAAATATACGTATTCAAGCATTCATTTTCGTATTTGACTTATTTAATTCCGTCATTCATCAGCGCGAGTTAAGTCGATGATTATACACGAGGATTGGGGATATGAATATTTCGATAGCAATTATTCGATAACAATCATTCGTATTATCTACTTAGATTCAGAAGCATAAAATACACAAAAAGCAGTGACATCATATTAGAGTGTGGCATTATTGACGAAAAATATTTCCCATCATTCATTGATCTTATAAACTTAAAGTTTAATGAATAATTAATGTAGATACGATTAAATTAAACAAATGAGCCTCATATTTATTGTTAAATGATTCCTTCACTATTTACTCAGTCTGTTTATATTACTTATGAGTAACCACTATATGACTGAACAATATTTGAATAACTAGTTTGACGGAAATTGGTTACCGACTATATGGAAGACATTATTTGTGTAAATTATTTCTAGATTAATAATCTCAAAGACTGAGATATTAATAATTTCAAATTTTCATCCAGCAATCTTGTTTGAACTTCTTTAGGGTAATGATCAAAATCAAAATTACAAAAGAATCTATAAGGTTTAACATTCAAACCTACACTAAACATTTATTCAATCATATTCAGATGGTGATTTTAGTAGGTAAAATAACAAATCAGTAAGATGTAAATGTTTTCATTGCACGAAAGGGAAAGTATATTTGTATATGTACCTTATCATTACTATTGGATAATGTTTAATGAATAAATTTAGTAATTTCAACAGTTGATATCACGAGTCAATTGAAGATAGAGCACCATGGAAAATCTGGAAGCACTGGATGGCCGTTTCGTCCTATTGTGGGACCCACCAGCAGTGCGCACCTACGGCCTCACCTCGCGAGGTTCGAGCTGGGGACTTACCTGTCTCGCGCGCGAACACTTAACCTCTAGACCACTGAGCCGGCATCCAGCGGTGTTAATGGTTAACTCAACTAGTCCACGAAATTGAGCGACACATCCACCGTTGTCATCAGTGAGTTACTATCTCTCAAAAGACCCGGTTGAACTCCACTGGTCACTGTATGCAATTTATTCAGAAAATGTACGTTATTAAGTAACTGAAATTAATTAACATGTAACCATGATCTAGGGTTTTTTAAATTTCAGTTGGCATTTACTATTCAGACAACTTTTGACAGATGTAAGTTATTTTCAAGTAGTGAACAATCTAACAGAGTCATAGGGAATTAATATCAGTATATGAGAGCCTATTTGGATATTTGAAGATCGTCACTTATATTTTGTTGATAATCACAAGGAGTAGCTAGGACTAGTTTTAGTAATAACCTACTATTCAGGCTAACAACACTCAGTTCAAAGTATACACATGAAGTGTTGATAGGATCAATCAGCGTGATATAGTTAAATGAATCTGAGCTTTTGAAAAAATAAAAAAATCAAATGATTTCTCATTGTTCATAATTTAATTACACTTAAAAAACAAGTGATACGTAAGTGTAATAGGAAAATTATGTGAATGAGAGATAATATTAAGTGTATGGCCATGAATGTGAGAGGATTTCACTTACCGGAACAATATTGTAGTTAGAACTCACATTGTTAATAACAGAATCAACGCTTGAACTGATGAATGATCGGGAGTGAAATAGTTGAGTGTGTCAACTACTTCACTTATCTTAGAAGTCGCGTCACTCCTAATGGGCTGGTGTCGAACGAAATCTCGATATGGATTCAGAAAGCTCATGAGGCCTTTACCAACTTACATCACTTTTGGGGTAGGCAAGATATCTACCTTCCAACCAAAGGAAGAGCAGTTGTTCGCTCTATAAAACATTGTCCATGAAAGTAGACGTGCGTAAGCTTCAGGTTTTTGACCATAAATGTCTTTAAAGTATTGCTCTCGTATCATGGAACGACCGGATGTATAAAGTTGAACTTAAATATGGTTTGCAGGGCAAAAGTGACAAATCAATCAATGAAGCACTGAATCTTCATCATCTGAGGTGGTATGATGCCTACTTAACGACAGTCAATCTCGACACACTTCCTTAGCTGATATAGGAGTATGTCAGAAACAGACTAGAGGAGACCATATCCCAAAGTGGTATTAGTCCAAGAAATTATAGATTTTCGGTCAGAGAAGTGTTGCCAGACTGAGGCTACTTATATGCTTTCCGCAAGATAATCTCAGTGAGTGGTTGAAAATGTTGTGTGATGTAACTTAAAATCAATCACAATGCCACAGGTACACTTTGATCTGCTTATAAAACAAAAGCCCCAGTATTTCTTATCTTGCTTAGTGCTTTTCTAACTTTTTTCTCAATGTTTAGTCATTCTCATAACAATAGCTACTAAATTATTACGACCCGTTTGGTGTTCGTCTTGTGAATTTCATTTAGTCTTACTAATATATCATGTTAACTTGCACTGATACATATTTGCGCCAGGCTCTACATTGTTTATAACTGATAACTGACTGAATACAGGATGTTAATTCGGGTCATTTATGGTATGATCAGTAGTAAAATTTATGTTCAAAGTAAAAAGTTTACTTCATATTAGCTAAGCTTCATAGTGCTCATAACAAACAGTAAACTTTGTAGCCAATATAATTTAAGATGAAATGTGAAGTTCTTTCATTCTTTTTGCTAACAACTAGACTTTGATATCCCTAAACTTGTTGCAGTAATGAAGATTCTACTGCCTACTCAAGACTAATTACTACGTGTCCAAGTGAAACATACCATATTCTAAAAAAGTGATTCATTATCAAAATATTTATCTGTTAAATAATTGGAATAAATTGATAAAATCATTATAAATTGCTCAAACGTTTCTTTCAGACTTATCGACTAATTGATTGATTGATTGATTGATTGATTGATTGATTTGATTGATTGATTAGAAAAAGTCAGTAACTAAACTGTACTTTCCCAGAACCGAAATGAGGGAAACAAAAGGCATGTGAAAAATGCACTGCATAATCACAATTTATAAGAAAAGGAATAAATGACAAAACGATTCCATCAAACAAACAAAAAATATACAACTAAAGGGAATAGATTAGAATAATTGATTTGTCTATTATATTATTACATAATATATATACGTATTGGATACATTCTAATTGTTGTTTATATAGAATATGTTACCCTATTTCTATCAATGCCTGTTTGTTCATTTTCTTCCCATATTTCTCATTGGTAAAATATGACGATGTGTAGGTGGATAATAGAACGTGTGTGTGTGTGTGAGAGAGAGAGAGAGAGGGAGGAAGAGTATTAAATAACTAATCATATCGAGTAAACAAATAGATTTGTTTGTATGTAATATCACTTTATATATACATTCTGTGCGTCCGTATTCCTCTGAGTGTAGGCGAAATAGATAGAACTAACAACTTATCAACTAACTATCTAGAGCTCAGAGAAACAATATTATAAAATAAATAAATAAAATAGAGAAAATAGAAAACCAAAAAAAACAGAAAAATTTCAGAAGAATACAGGAAAAAAATTGATCGATTGTACTCATATATGGTCAATAGTTTATGTTCTGTCTCATATTTTCTTTATTCATCTAATAAGTTAAATCATTATACAATTCAATTCATTTTCATTATCATTGATATTACTGTCAAGGTCATCATAATTATTTATAATAATAATAATAATAATAGTAGTAGTAAAGTTTAATGATTTTGTCAAAAGAGAAATGTTTTAATTCATCTCATGCATGAATTATCCATTAGAGTAGTAACCAATGGGAGAATCAAAACATGTTTATAAATACGATGTTTAGCATTACTATTCGTCTAAATGTATGCTCTTTTCCTTTATAATAGTAATAATAATAATAATATACATAGATTATATTACAGAATCCCGTAACTACGCCCTAAACTATCAATATAAATAACAAATATCAGAAGTTTGTAAATTCAAAGGAATTAATTAGCATTTTTCGTCAAATGGATACAGCTCGATTCTCATAACCCCACCCCACCCCAAAAAAACACATAAACTACAAAGATATCTTTTTTTTATTTAATATACAGTCTGTACATTCATTACATAATCTAAGCAACAACCATACATCATTACTACTATTATCAGTATTTTGTACTTAATTCTTTGGATGTATAACTTGTTATAATAATGATGATTATATCATTATTAATTAATTATAAGCCAATTACTTTATTATATAATGAATTTTCAATGAAATCTGTGGAGACTACATGAATTAATTCGTATGATTATGCAATGAAAATTCATACTCACCATTTACATGTAAATATATATGTATTCATAAATTATCCCATTCTTATATTACATAGAAATAGATAAATTGATTGATACCAATATTATATAAAATGGATAATATACCAGATCTATCACATTTAACTCCAGAAGAAAGGAGAATTATTGAAGATGTAATGAATAGACAAAAACAAGAGGAGGCTAAAGATTCACAACTAGTTAGGTATGTTATTATATATTATATATTATTAAACTATATGAATTATTTATAATTTCTAATGAAATGAGTAACTTAGTGGATTAAAATAATGAATTTTATAACTGATGGTTTAATATAAACAAAGATGGATGATGGCTAGAAATGGAATTTAGAAGATGCGTTTCGTTCTATTCGGATATACATACATCACAAAGCTGATGTTCATTGATGGACTTGAATCCAGTATCATTCATCTCAATCACTATGGTATTATCCACTTAGCTACTGGGCTACTAGCTTGTGCAATGGAGTGAAGTTTAAATTCATTTGAAACTTTGCATTGATGTTTAGGACTGAAATTGATTTGTACATATGCTAATAAGCGACGGATCAATTGCAGTCCTAAACACGAACGGGAAAATTCAAACATACAATACACATTGATTTTCATACACATAGTTCCCTTTATTATTTTAAAGAGAGCAAGAACAAAAATTGGTGCAGAATAATAAATGAATTCATTTTATTTCGTTAGGTTCTCATCAGCTGCTTACAACCTAAATTATTTAAAATTCAACATTAATACAGATATTGACATATTTAAATATAAGAGTGTGATTAAGGATCAATACATGTGTATGATGATGTAGCGAATATTCAGATAGAGTTAATGAGCTCATAAAATGTTTGATTCGAATAAATAAATAGTTTGAGAGGGAAAGTTCCAGAACATTGAAATAGTGATTAGAACTCATGAAAATAAATTAATGGTAATAAAGAAAATATGAATTGAAATCAATCAGTTATGTATGATGTAATTTATATTTCAGAAAGAGTTGCAATAATGACGTAATAAATAAATAAATAGGAGCTCGATTCTCATAACCCCACCCCACCCCAAAAAAACACATAAACTCTACAAAGATATCTTTTTTTTATTTAATATACAGTCTGTACATTCATTACATAATCTAAGCAACAACCATACATCATTACTACTATTATCAGTATTTTGTACTTAATTCTTTGGATGTATAACTTGTTATAATAATGATGATTATATCATTATTAATTAATTATAAGCCAATTTGAATTCAGTCACCATTATATCACTTTGAGTATTCAAGGTTAGTATCACTGGTTCTCATGCGGGAAACAATTAATAAGCCAAGTACAAGAGTTTGCAACACATTACGGTGTTATAGTCATTTATAAGTAACCTTGTCTATTTACATAAAGAGAAATAATTTGAAGAAAGTATTCTCTTTACAAGGAATTTGTGCTTACATTCATAGTGACCAATAGATTTGTAATAAGCTTACTTAGTGTTTTCTTAGCAAGGTTGTTTTATATGGGATGAAGTTGCCGACCCCACACCCAACTCTCCTCCTTTACCCGGGCTTGCGACCGGCTAGATAACTTTAAATGAACAAATTAGACCGCTTTTAAAAATAAGGTTATCTGGGAGAAAATGTTTCTTCCATTTGAGACGACATGTTGTACCAGTACATAGAGTTATTCAATAATGTTTAATAGAATAAACTAGATATGTTGTGTTTTGTTTTATGCCATTTAAGACAAGTTTTCTTAACGAAGTAATCTGTGAGTTTCTATGTTTCATTTAAGGAATTATTCAAAACGTCTATGAAATATTTTCAAGACCAACATTTTTATGATTAATCCATCAAATAGTAACTTAAACGTTTTTAAGACGAAATACTTTATTAGGAAGTATACAAACCGTACATCACAGAAATATTCGTTTTTCAGATCACTCAGTAGTTTAGTAGGTAACACTATGAACGACCTTTGAGTAACACCAGAGTGATCTAGAAAATGTCCACCTACTAACTAGCACTAAATGAGAGTTTCGAACCGGTGTGAGGAACTAGACTTATTATATACAGTCGATGGTTATGGTTAGGAATCAGATTTATGGTCTTCATAACAAACTGATATTACCTATAATGCCAAAAAGCTATTTAACCAGATGTATGAATGAATTTCGCGTCAAAATTCAAGACTTGTTATCTTAAATTTGATTGGTTAGTTCATAAATTATAGTTTTTCTATTGAGAAGTTTCAAATAAAATGTAATACACATCCTTGTTTCTACTGTTAGCCATTACTCAAAATATAGCTTTTAAATACAGCATTATTATGTTTTTCGTTTAGTAATTTTAATTTGTTTTAACTGAACGAAAACCGATATTACTCGATGCGAAGGAGAGGGCGAAAATTTACTAAAAACCAAAAGTAGATCTAAGCTACATCTGAATATATTGATTATTATATTTTATTTGCAGTGATTAACAGTTAAATATTACATCTACCTTCAATCATTGGTTCCACGTGTTCTTTGGTCTACCTCTTTTGATTTTGTCTTGAGGACTCCATGTCACGGAATGCCTTGTGATGTTCGTGCATACAAAGATGAAGAGAGAGTCCGCTTTGTCCGATGTACCGTTTTTCTTAGGTGGAACAATTTATTTTCTAGATGAAGTCCAGTTTCTCTTCTTTGTCATTTTGTCCTTTGGTTCACATAGGGTTGACTGAAGTGATTTTTCTGGTTCGTATGCTATATGTATTCTAAACGGCTTCAACAATTTCGTTGTAATTTCTGATATCACCTTTTACATATGGTAGGGTAATCTGCACTTGATTTTGTTTCTGTTGACTCGTTTGGTTGATTTTTTTGCTGTTGATTGAGTAGCCGTTCTTTTGAAAGATAGTCTTTAGATATTTTCCTTCACTTTCCCGCGCTGCAAGTGTTTTGTAGGTGTCTTCGCCCTCTTGAACAAAGTTTGTACGCAGTTAATTCTGTTCCTACTGCAATTGAGGATTCGATCTGTGTAGGTCGGCTTCCGTTACACTTGAGTCTCCAATTTCCCTGTGTCGGTTTTGGTAATTAATACATCCAAGAACGGTAGTTTGCTGTTTGACTCCTGTTCCATCGTGAACTTGATGTCATAAAAGGCGTTGTTGATCAGATTGTAGGTGTTTACCAGCTTCCTGGTTTTCAATAGATTCAAATAAGATCATTGTATGAAGTAAAGAACATATTAAACAACCTACACTAAAACTCTTACACTAATACCAATCATTTTTTCTCTAATGATTAAATTTGAAAGGTAGTTCTTAAGTTCTGGAGAGAAACCATAATTTATGGTGTTCAACCTTTTCATACGTTAGGCAAATGTTGTCTGCCGATAATTGTTTTACAGTAATACGAATTGACTGAATCACTGGATTCCGGCTCAGTGTCCTGAGGACACATTGCTTGCTGCAAAACATAAATGTCCAGAATGAGGTCATCTATCCTAAATGATGAAGAATCCTAAACTATGGGAAGAAAGCTATCCAGTATTTCATCATATTTAACAACTCTAGTTGATATCACTTCCCACTAAATAGTTACATTTAAAATAAATATTATTAAAATTAGTTAAATTTTTCATTATCCTCAAAGTAAGAAACGACAGTTTCATACTTTTACTCATCATCAATGTATTGACATTTATTGAAATATTGACTCAAATACACATTGTTTTTAATAAACATACTATTTGTCATATCCCAATGAGTAGAAAATTGTATTTCTGTCGTTTCGTGACTTAATGTAAGTCACTGCTTTAGTGTAAATAAAAAATCTTTTCTGTCCACTGACATGTTTTTACGATCCCGCCCGCGGGACCCGAACCCAGGGACTTTGGTCTCGTGCGCGAACGCTTAACCTCTAGACCATTGAGCCGGCATTCAACCTCAGTAATGTCTTACCTCAACCAATCCACGAAGTTGAGCGACCAACTTCCATTGTACTGAAGTAGATACTTGTCTCTACTCGACATGAATTAGATCCACTGGTCACTGCTTCTCATTAGAACTCCGAGAATTCTCTCACGAAGCTAGTCACCAGTGAGCGCATGGCTATTACTAATAGGACGAAACGGCCATCCAGTACTTCCAGGTTTTCAATGGTGGTCTAACACCAACCGATTCATGATCTCAATCAAAAATAATCTCATTATGTCTAAGCTTCAGTAATCATCGAATTTCATGAGACAAGTTTATAAGGAGAAATGATACCACATTGTGATCTATCTTGCTTAATGGTTAATTGACACAGGGTGTCATAGATTGACTAGAGTCCAATTTGCTCGACAAGCATCGATTCATTCAAAATTGACAAAAAACTTTCCATATGAGCGTTTATTAACTCTAAACATAAATCTAACATTTTCTTTAGTAAAATTTAATAACTCACCGTTATAATAAGAATGTTTTCTGCACAATGTTGAAAACATTGTCGTTTTTCTCTCATAGAGGTAAACATCATCCTAAACTATCGCGAAGTATGGTTCATTGTAAAAGAAAACTCATTTGTTTTTAGTGAAATAACTACTGTCATGTTCCTATGAATAGTCTGTTTAAACCACATATAACTCCGTTTCGTCTCATTTTCAATCATAATTTACTTCTAGTCAGAAAAGCGAACAGACTAAATACAATAATATACTGAATAGCACAATTTAATTCAAAGAAATTGCCAACATTTGATCCTTTGAGATTGATTAGAACTATTCTATTTTGGGTTTCTCATATCTCTTATTAACCTATGATTGATGAATTACATGAATTACATTACTAACCTTTATTAGTGTAAAATAAGTAGTATGTAAAGTGAAAATATGTTTTTCCATCAAAATGCATTAGAACAAAAATGCTTAAGCTGTTCGTGCTTCAAAAGATCACTTATTTGGGCATTGATTTGAACTACATACTGGGTTTGAGAAAATAAAATGCCCTTTAGACTGTTTAACGTGACCTTGAACGACCTAAGAGAATGATAGTATTTCAATGTATACGTACTTGGAAACATCTATAGTTTATTACTATCCACACTCAAACTTGTTACTGATTATTAACTTTCTAAAATACTCAATAGATTTTTTTATGGATAAAAATGTACCAAGTTCGCATACATTATTCATTTAAATGTTTCTATTGCATTAATCGTTTAAAGG